TTGTTTTTTCTTGTTTTGTTTTGTTTTTTTGATGTATGAAAAATGGCCAAGTCCAACTAAACATGTCCCAAACAGAAATCATTCCCTTCACCCAAAACATGTGCACCATCTTGACATCATCATCACTCAGTCATTTTAGACAAAGACATGGGAGATTTTTGTTTGTTTGTTTTGATTTGCTTTTGACAATTCCATCTCTCCACTCTTCCTAACATGCCCAGTTCCAGCCATCAGCAAGCTTTCTCCTGGACTTTGCTAGTGGGAGTCTCCTACCTATTTCTCTGTCCACAGTTTTGTTATCCCCACATCTGTTTTCTACAGGGACAACAGTGGTTTTCCTGAAACTGAAATCATTTCATATGACTTTCTAATTTTTAGTTCTTCCAAAAAGCCTTTCCATTTACTAGATAAATCCAAGCTTTTTAACAAAGCAAATTAAATTTTCTGTGATATGGTCCTTAACCCTTTTGCCCCTCTATTAATCTCAGTTTATGCCCTGGTAACACTGGCTGCCTTGTAATTATCTGTAAGCATCAAGTTATTTCAGACCGTTCAGGCTATGTAAGCAATGTGACTTGCTTTCTTTTCACCTTGATTAACCTCTAATAATTCTCCTAAACTCATCTTGTTTAGGAGGCCTTCTAAGTACTCCCTCATTATGACAAGTGTCCTTATCAATGCCCCAAAAACCTGAAAATTTACCTCATTCTCAAATTTATCATGCTAAACTAAAACTAATTATTTATATTTCTACTTTGCATACTTCACTGTATTTTTTCTTTTTCTTTTTGTTTTTTTTGTTTGTTTGTTTGTTTTTTTTTTTGGCCTGCAAATGATGATACTCTGTTTATCTTGGTATACTCACGACATGGTAAATGGCAGTTATATAATCAATAGTTTGTTAGACTGAAAAGAAAATCTTACTGTCATAGACACCTATTTTTCTGACTTATTAGAAACAAAATTAGACAGAATGAATTTATACTATAAGGGAAGGCAGAACAATTTCAAATCTGCTTCTGTATTTTGGGAACTCTATAAAAATATATTTCAGGTTTGTATCATACTGTCCATTATTCTACTTCATTTACTTCAAAACCAAAAAAATAACAATTTAAAAAAAATTGAGTTTTGTTAAGAACCTGGGTGGGGGCAAAGATATTTGTTAAGAACCTAAGGACATTCCAGGGATTGTTTTGGCTTCTGGACACCAGAGACAACCAAGCCACAGTGATCCATGCCCTGGTTAACTAGCACTCTGGATGAGGGGGAAAGGGAGGCAATGGCAAGGCAGACAATAAACTTCATACTCTAAATGAAAATACATATAGTATATTCCATGATGATACGTGCAGTAGATGCAATGAATGCCAAGAATGTGTTGTAAAAGTATTGAGAAGCTGTTGCAATTGTAAATTGGCTGTCAGAAAAGGCTTCGCAGTTCAAAACTGGAGGAAGCGAAGCTGGGAGAAGTCAGAGAAGAGCCTAGGAAGGCTGAGAGGAGCTGGAAGTGGAGTTCAGAGTCCTGAAGGTAGATTTGAGTCTCAAAGACAGAGCAGAGACCAGTTTGATAACTAGTTGACTAAAATAAGCAGAACTGAGCAGAAGACCAGGTAAGAGAAGAGGTAATGCGGCAGGAACCTGTCATCTGAAGGTGACAGTGCCAAGGAGGGGCAATGGATAGTACATTCTTATGAGATTAAAAAGGGAGAATATCAAGGAGAAGGAGAACGAATAGTCTCAAAAGAGAAGGAGAAAGAATAGTGTAGAAGTACCAATGAGGAGCTAGGGATCCACCTGCCAATCTCCATGATTAATGAATAATAAGAGGTGGGCGTAGACAAAATTGCCCCATGTGAATGTGCTGCAGAGGAAACAGTGCCCTTTTCTCTGCTCTCGGAGAGGGTAAAAAAGAGACAAATGAAATAGTATTAATAATTATTTTTCCAGTTCTCCTCTTGAACTGCCTGGCCCTGGTGTAGTTTTGGGTAGTAATGTTTTGAGCATTTTCTTTATTTCCTCTATCCATTGTTATCTTAATATTTCTTAACCTTTGGAATTGATTTTGGTAAATTATGTCTTTTTAAAAAATTATCCATTCCATTCATGTTTTAAAATTTTGCACATATTAAAGAAAGTTGTATTTTATGACTCTTTTAATTTCTTCTGTTTCTGTATTATTTCCATCTTAGAAGTTATTATGTAAAAATGTACTGTATCCATTTTGATTAGATTGCTGGTGGTTTGTCCATTTAATTATGTTTCCTTTTTCTTTTCTTTTTCTTTTCAGAGAACCAAATTTGAATTGATGGATTGGTTTTAGAGATGTTTACAACTCATTCATACTTGTTACACTTGTTAATTCTTTGTTGTATTTCTTTGTGGTTTTTGTTTATTTCTTTTATACATAACAAGTTTATAACATCTTCATAAAAATTTCTCAAAAATATTTATTTGGCCTGACTAAACCACAACTGTTATTTTAAAAAGCCAGTAAAATAGGAATAAGTACTTTCTTAACATAATAAAATATATTTTTTGAAACAATAACCTAATATAATGGGGAAAGATGGTAGGCATTGCCACTCGAGTTAAAAACAAGGCCATCATTTTTATTGAAAGAACTAACAAATGTAATTCAAAGCATAAAAGAAAATGGAAAACTAATATATAAAATTATCACTATTTATAAAATGTATTCCTGGATAATATAGAAAAAATTGAAACTATAAAAACAAAGGGAATAAAATAAGAAAGTAGGTTAAAATTAATATAAAGAGATAAATAACTTTCATATATAAATATCAATCATAAAGAAGAATAAGGGAAAAGGGCTCAATTTACAATAATAGCATAAGATACAGAAACAGAACAACAACAAAATAATAGGACTTCTATAAAGAAAATAAAAAATAATAATAACAAAACCATTAAAGGATGTAAAATAAAGCATGAACAAATAGAGACAGATCATTCTTGGATAGAAAGATCAATGTCAAAAATATACAATTTAACCCTAAGTAACTAATTTAAAAATTTGATGTGCTCCTAATAAAAATGTAGTTAAAGAAATAAAACACTGGAGCTACCTTATATAGAGTGAAAGAAAAAAAATAATAACTGAAACAGTAACCAGGAAAGTTTTCTAGGGAAAAAACAAACAAACAAACAAACAAACAAACAAACAAAACAATGACCACCAAAAAACCAGTATTGAGGTAAGTTAGCACTGCTATATTGTAAAACACGGTTTAAAATCTTAACTATTAAAATTGTGCAATAATAGCTCATGAAAAAAAATACGTGAACTAACGGAATAAAAGAGGAAGTGTAAAATCAAAATCAAATACGTAAGAAAATGTATGATATAATAAATATAACATCTCAAATTAGTGTGAAAAATATGAACTATGCAATATGGTGTGTGGAAAATCTTGCTGAGTCAATATTTCCTACTGCACTAGGATAAATTCCAAGGGCAACACACACTTAATTTAAACATACACTATGAATACACCAAATCATTAGCAGAAAACAGAATAATTCTAAACTGGTCTTAAAATATCAATGGAAATATGGGTAGATTGCAAACACAGATTTTACAGAAATCTGTAGATTAGAACTGGCTCTGAAACAATTATACTCAAACTCACAGATAAACAAGTGGATAAAAATAGATGCTATTTTTACCTAGCAGATTGGCAAAAATACAAATGTTTGTTATGACACACAGCTAGGGAGACTGTGCAGAATTAATCATTGTTAACTTGGCAGTTGGAATTTTAAATTGTTTTAAGCTCCATAGAATGTAATTTGGCAGTTATCTCTAAAATTCAAAATTGCATATACCCTTTGGTCTCAATTCTGGGAACTTACTCTATTGATATACTTGCACGTATTGAAAATGATGCATGTACAATGCTATTTATTTCTTCATTGTCAGGAAAAGAGAGACTGAAATGTAAAACTCCATCAACAGTGGATTTCTTAAACAATATTACATACATATGAAGGAATGTTATATAGCTCTGAAAAGTTTTGAGGAAATTATCTAGTATTCATATGGAAAGATATCCCCAGGATGTTTTGTGAGGGAGGGGGGAAACAGCAAGGTGCAGGAATGTATTGCTATTCATCAATATTTTCTTGAAATGCATACTGAAAATCTAGAAATGAGCAAGCAATTAACAAAAGGGGTATCTTAGGTGGGGAGCTAGATAAGTGCAGTTGTTATAGTAGAAGCCTTTTGTTTTTTACCTGCACACACATACACACACGCTCTCTATCTATATATTTGAATATGTACACAGAGTGTGTGTGTGTGTGTGTGTATATAGATAGATGTGTTCTATAGATACATTCTAATAAACTCTATAGATAAGCTATATATATGAATTTATATATATATATGAATATATATAGTATATATATGTATTTGGATGGATGGATGGATGGATAGATGGATGGATGGATAGATAGATAGATAGATAGATAGATAGATAGATAGATAGATAGACAGACAGACAGACAGACAGATAGATAGATAGATAGATAGATAGATAGATAGATAGATAGATAGATAGATAGATTTGGATAACTACCCAGACACTGAGAAGTGGCTTCAAATCCCTGAGACATTACATGTTATCGCCGTGTCTGTGACCTCTCACTGTCATCAACCCTGGTTTTCAGTTATAAATTAGATACGTGCCTCTGATGTTTCCCAGTCTCCCTCCCACCACCCCACCCCCCAGAACAGAGACCTGCATCCTTCAGTGATGTCATAGTTAATTATTTTGTGGTTTAATCTTGTCTTTATTGTCCTTTTCCCACAATTTAACGAAATTAGAATATTCAGTTACTGAGGATCCGGTCTCTCTGATTTTCTGATCTAATTTAGATGTTTATAGGATAAAAGAATGCTCGCTGCGCTCCTTAAATTTAATTATGGTGTTAAAAGGCAGCAATGAAAAGACTGCTTTGGTTCTAATATAAATTACCTTCTCTCCACAGGAGGAGCATTATCCGCTGCTTGGACAGTGAGTGCGTAAGTCTGCCCGACTATCAGTTTCACTCCCGGAGCGATGGTGATAAGCCCTGTTGTTTTATTGATGATGAAGTCTCCCCTGTCCCCAATCAGAATTTCATAGGAGATCTCCCCGTTTGACCCTTCGTCTGCGTCGAATGCAGTGAGCTGAAATTGAAAATCATAACATAAATCCTCTGGGTCTCAACTTTTCACTATTGTGTCATTTTTCCCCCAACACAAGCAGCTTGCTTTCAAAGACAAAAAATAAGTAAAGGAAGTTTTCTTGGCGTATATACTCTTGTTTTCATGAATTGGGGCTACTGTGTTTTGTTATGATATGGAAGGAATCACAGCAGGAAGGATTTTTTTTTTCTTTTCTTCTGGGAATGATGAAAAAAAAAAGTTTTTGGATCTTGAAGACTATGTTTAATTTAATAAAGGGGGGAAAAAAGAAAGCCCTAAAGTAAATATGATATCCCTGTAGGAAATTTATTTATTTATTTATTTCTATTTTACCTCCCGTTTTTGACACATAAACACATATTACTGCTGACTGAGTCCTGGAAAAAATAAAATAGGTGAAGTCTGTCTTTGTTACTCCCATCCATCCTTTTGCTCTCATTTTTCCCATGATTAATGTTTCCTTCCTCTCTCTCAGATTCTCTTGTTCTCACGTCCTTTTTATTTACATTGGCTTTAGGGAAGAGTCTTATAATCTTGTTCACAGTGACTTATAAAGGACTGATATGGCCTAGAGAATATTAACTTTTCAAAATCAAACAAATGCATCTCCAATTGTAGAATATCTAGTTAGAAAATTAGAATATTAAGCCCAAGAAAAAAATTTTTTTTGAAGAAAGGGATTCAATTCAGTTTCTGAAATAATACTACATAAGCATCTATAAGGCAAATTTACACATATTTATAATTATTTTGGAGCAAATGGTATCCAATTAGTTAAAGACTATATTTGTGTTATTTTGTGTGAAAAGAGAATGACCATTATTCATTTCATATAGAAAAATTTAGGCAATAATGATTTAATATACTATATAAGAATCCTTGACTTTCTGATAAATATATGTTTACTTGAGACAGAGAAATGAATTCTAGTGAGCAATCTTATAATATGCATTTTACAAATTGTCTGTTTTCATCATATCAAAAGTGATGAATGGAGAAAATAAAAGTGCCCTCAGTTTACACATTAAGAGAAACATAACTAAAAGTTCCCAGTAGAATTAAAAAAACAGATGGTTGTAATACATAAACTTGTAGAAATTGTATCTTATTTACTGACATTTTCTTATGCATTTCTCGTCCCTGAATTTCACTTCTCTAAAGTTGTAGTTCTTTATCATTCACTCCTTTGGGAGACCACTGGACACACTGTTGCACCACCCTAGATAAAATGTGACTATGCTATTTACCCTGATACTTGAATTCTGGACACCCGTGTTAATTAATGGCCCATTTAGAGGTTCATAGTTACTGTCCTGATGAAGTGTAAACAGAGTGCTTTACACACCCCACCATGCTTAAGGGGGTGTGATGTATAGATGTTATTTCTATTTTTATTATCCACTACATTTAGAGTGATGATATGCATTGAAACAGCAGGAAAAAAAATTAAGAGGAAAAAAAGAAATTTGAGAGACTGATACTAATTTAGCTAAGTCTAAGAGTGGCTATTTGCAGATGGGCAGATGCGGTTGCCAGAAGGAAAGGCATTTCATGGAACGATTCTGGGATTTCTGTGAGAATGATAGACATAGCCCGACAGGCAAAGGGGAAGGAAATTATTTGCAAAAACAGTCAAAATGAATGATGCATATTTATGGAGAAATATTCAAGCCAGACAAACTCATTCTTTTTAGTGTGTGGTTAAAATTAGAAAATTAGAAGATAGGGGTAGCAGAGGAGATATCAATTTTGATTATAGTAAATCACTTAACTCAGTGTCTCAGGGAATCTTAATTAAAATTTAGCACAAATTGCACTCGATATTAACATTCTTTCTGGGACTTAAATTGGCTAAAGGAATTTAATGATAAATGGCACTGCATCAAGTTAAGGAGTGTTGAGGCGCGTGCTTCAGGGATGTAGGTATTATGGCTGGCCTTATTTAACATTTTCATAAATGAGGTTGGAAGGGAGGATAAGCTGGATTATAATTAAATTGAAGAAGGCACCCATCTGGGAGGTGCCGTAAATACCAAACAGTACTGCAAAGCACAGGTGATAGAAACAGCCCTAAAACTGCAGAGCCAGCCAACCACAGACAAACTAAGAGATTCAGGGACCACAACTAGTGCCACAGAAACTGTTAGCAAGTAGAAGTTTAAACAAATAAGGCAAAAATAAATTCTATGTTTAGGCTACTTAAATAACTTTATACTATTTTCAGTCTTTTAAAAAATAAAACAGTAGATTATGAATCAACATAATTGAGTTCCCATATATGCAAACAAAAATATTTTGAAGTATTATTGGTGGTCCAAAATTAGAAAAGGGAGCTGAGACACTGACTCTGAATAACCATAAAATGGTAATAACTCTCATGAAGACGGACTCTGAAACTGAACTACGGTAGGGATCTAATCGATAACAACTCAATGACTCTGTGATCAGTGGTCTAGGTCCTAGGAGATGATGGTATATGAAACCCTTTCCTAATTTAGAGGAGAATACTGCCTCCTGAATAAAAAGGGATTGAAGGAGAGGTTGATTTACACAGAGAAGCCAAAGTATGAATTTACATAAAAGGACAAATGTAAAGAACATTAGACCATCAACTGAACAAAAAAAATATCAAGTTGGAGCCTCAAAAATGAAGCAGGAGTAGAATAAAAGTCATAGTTGATATAGAAATAATCACCATACTTAAACTGTAATACAAAAGTGTGAACATAGTATTTTTATATTAACAAGTATGTTTTCGCTAGAAACACATGGTTAAATTGATCATGAGTATGTGTGTTAACCATTTGGCCTTTTCACTTCCTAGGCACCCTGGTCTTTGTTTGTAATACGAATCCCTCATTTTCTTCGGAGAGTGACTCATCCCCTTTACACTCCGTGTTTGGTGGGGCTGACATTCATCTACAGAGATGGGAGTGAAATTCAGGCCTGGACATTGCTTGATTCAAGAATTGGCAGTCATCTAAGTTGTTCATCAAGATGGCTCCTAAAACCACTGGAAAAGAGTGGCTCTAATTTCTATGGCTTGCCTGGTGAAATCACAATCTGATGTTTATGCTGATCTTCTTGTCTGGATTTGGTCTGACAAAGAATGAGGCCCAAAATTGTTGGGAAAGTTGAGAAAAATAACATGATAATGTTAATTAAAGTGTCTTGTACTAAACATTTAATCTCTCTGCCGCAACTCTATCGTATAATAAAGGATTTCTGACTCACTTATACAGTCAGTTACATGAAAATGAAAGTTAAGTAGATATTGATCTCCTGGACAGAAAGATTATTTGGGAAAGCAACCTAAAACTCACAAGCTAGGTAATGACTATGGAGAGAGATTTGCCAGAGGAAGAATTTAATTTATATTTGGGAAAATTTACATACATAGTTGCATGTCTCTATCAACACTTATACAAAGGTATAAGTAAGAAGATGGAATGAAATAACCTTTCAAATGTTAAAGAATACCAGACAACTTAGGAAAAGGGATGGTTGCTAATGTATTTGCAGAGGGAATTCCAGCTCCTTACCAGATAAAATATATTCTGGTCATTACCAGTGTTTTAGGAAGTTCATTTTTATGCACTAGATATTATAGAAGTTGCTATAACAAATTTTTATGAAAATTTAACAAGGGAATAATACATCCTGAGTACAGATTAGAAGACATTAGAAGCTATGTCTAGAGGGCACAAGACTTGCACTGTGCTACTGCCATAAAAGTTATATAGTTGCCTGTCCTGTATTGTTATTTAAAGCTAAATAAACTTGGTGTTATGACAGGTCTATTGAGGCTTTCCAGATTGGCTTTCACGCTGAGCCCAAGTCCGCTCCTGCTGGTCAGGCATATTGGGAAATGCATCATTTAGTCATCTCCAGGTTTATGCTCTCTCGAGCTTTCATGTAAGCCTGTTATGCTTTGAAGCTAAAAAAGCATACTTGGCTACTAATCACCCCTCTTCTGTTCAGCATATCCTAGAAGAATCTAAGATGGTAGGCATGTTAGTAGCGTAGGTGGTTAGCAATTTTATTTTTCAGGTGTATAATCCAGGAGGAAGTATCATCACTGTTAACTATACCATAATCATTAATTTTTTTATGGGCCATTAAAAGGGTTTTTACTGGAGATGGATCTCTTATTTAGGCATTCAACTTCCTGATAAAAAGCCAAAGAATAAAACATTAACAACAAGACTTTTTAAATTGTTTATATTGCTTGAGAATTTGGAGGACTTGTTTCTTTTTTGTAGCAACTTCATGGTCCTTTTGTAGAGGTTCATTGAATTTCATTACTCAGACTGAGACTGGAAACTGGAACCTTAATTGCTTTAACAGTGTCGCATTCTCTCATGCTCAACTTCTACCCTCATTACCTCAACTCAAAATTTCCTCAAAGATGGCTTCCATCAATCCCATATCACAGGCTTTCACCTGTCAATTTAAGGATCCAGTCTTAAATACTTCTTCAAGAAATCTTGTATTGTATTCAATGCCAAATCTAAATTACTCTGCTATGCAGGATATTTCTTCTTTAATTAATTGATACATAAACTAACACATAAGTCAGACCTTAATTCAGACACTGGTCTCTGAAAAATGCAGAGTGAAGATGTTATAGACAGAAAAATTACTGTCAAACAGCTTGTGGTCTAGAAAAGGAGACAGAAAAGAAACATATCTTTAATAGAAGTGCTATCTGAAAAGAATAAAAAAGAAAAAAATTCCAAAAGTAGAGAAAAGCCTGTAATGACAAAAGAGTTGGGAGAATAAGTGAATGCATATTTGACTTAGTAAAAGACAAGAAAAAACTTCTTTTTTTACCATTAAGTTCCTCCTGGTTCAAATGGCAATCAAATTGGTATCCTTAGTATCTCATAAAATTAACATGCCTATGGTCAGATCATTCCATTCAATAACATCATATCTCCTTCATTTGCCTGTCTGAGTAGCCCTAACAGATATTCTTCCTC